GAGTTCTTGTGGTCACAATATGCTTGGGTTGTGGAGTTAAGAAAGACAAAAAAATCCACACCAAAAAAAAAAAAAAAGGAATAAAGAGTTGTGAAAAAAAGACAAATGCAACAACACTTGATGATGAACTATAAAATAAGGGAAGTTTGAAGGGCATTATAAGGAATGAAGACAAGCACATAAACTAAAGTTAAAGAAAGGTAAAGTTGCCTTGGCATTGCCCATCATGTTGCCCCCCCTTTTTTCCTCCCTTTGCTTTCCCAAAGCTAAACATTTTGCAATTTTCATATTATTTTTTAGCCAACCAAATTCCATGGTGTTATACACCTTCCCAAATAAATAAATAATACTTAAATGAGAGAAAGGGAAGACAATAGGTTGGCATGAGGAGTTAAGTTTCTCTTAGTTTCAGGGTCATCTTTTCATTTTTGATATAAAAAATCCTCAAATTAAATGAAAAGATTTTCAGTGATTCCCATCAAAATAAAAAGTGTATAATATTTTAGTCATATCAAGTTGTTAAATAAAGAAGGAAAAAAAGTAATTTTTTTAAAGTGTTATCATTTCTTGTTTAAACATGACGATAGAGTAGTATGAATCATTAAAATTATTCTCTATATCTAATATTAAAATTTATTAATTATTCCGTATATATTATTGAGTTCTTAATGATAATTGATTCAAAATGATATGAATTTGATTTTTGATGTTCCTAATATTTCACATATAATTTGAGATCAATGACATGCCTTGTCCTAAAATGGTCCTTTACCTAATCTTTGATCTGCCATAACTTTCTTTCTTTATTATTAATTATTATGCCTAACTATTTATTGGTTCAAAAGATATTATCAAATTATCCTTTTACTTTTATTATTATTATTTCGGGTACGGTGAAAAACCTGTTACCAAAATGTATACTGAAATAAATTTTATTTTTATGTAATAATTCATAAATTATATATATAAAAAAAAGACAACTACAATCAAAATACCGTACGAAAATCATGTTTTGTTTACATTTACTTGATTAACCTTTTCTAGGCTTGTTTTTATCGTATTTGTTTGTATGACAGTTGACCAGATTTTCACTTGGATGGGTCTTCACTTAGAAAACCCCACTTGGCCACTTCCAACCAAAGCTACATATAAAATACGAAGACACAATTTTTATGTATTTACTATTTATATACACTCCGTATATTTTAGATTCTGATAGAGAAATTTGAGCTATTTTCCATAGAGAGGGAGAGAGAGAGAGAGAGAGAGAGAGAGAGAGAGAGAGAGAGGAAGATGGGGAACTCCTTTGGTTGCTCTGCGTCGGGAGAGAGATTGGTGTCGGCGGCGAGAGACGGCGACTATGTAGAAGCCAAGATGTTGCTGGATTGCAATCCATGTTTGGCAAAGTACTCAACTTTCGGTGGTCTCAACTCTCCTCTTCATTTTGCAGCCGCTAAGGGCCATAATGAGGTACTGCCCTTTTTCTTGCCCTTCATTTCAGTGCCATCAAGTTTTGTTCTTTTTTCATCTGTTTCTCAGTGTGCTTGATTTGTGGGAATTGTGTTTTTAGATTGTGGCATTGTTGCTTGAGAATGGAGCTGATGTGAATTCCAGGAATTACTGTGGGCAGGTATGTGATTTGAGCCTTGTTTTGATGGTTGATCAGTGCTATTTCTTGAGTTAATAATGCCTGGTTGATCAGCTCCAATTCTGATTTAAGATTCTTGAAATTGATGGGTGTTTGAGATGAACTGGATTCTTGAATTGTTTTTTTTTTTTTGGGTAAACCTTAAATAAGTGACCCTAGCCAGCAAAGGAACACTAGAGGGCTAGGTTTGCCATAGCTGATGATTCTTGAATTGTTTTTTGTCAGACGGCATTGATGCAAGCATGTCGGTATGGCCACTGGGAAGTTGTTCAAACTCTTCTTCTCTTTAGATGCAATGTGAGTTTGCTAAGAATTTTGAGTAATAAAATTCTCATCTTTACTTATGAATGCAATATAATATGATGATCACTTTTTCAAAAAATAAAAATAAAATCCTTAAGAATTGGTTGGTATATGAGCGAAAATCATATCGTGATGCCCTTTTAGGTTACGAGAGCTGACTATCTTAGTGGGAGGACTGCTCTCCATTTTGCGGCAATGCATGGACATGTTAGGTGTATGAGGTTGGTGGTGGCCGATTTTGTCCCGAGTGCCCCTTTGGAATCTCTAACCGGTGAAACCAACACTGATAATGGACGAGGCAGTTCACAATCAAAAACCAAGCACGAACAAGGGTAATAAGCGGTTTTTTTTTTTTTTTTTTTTTTTTGTTTCATTGGTTGGGATGCACAACTAGACATGTATATATAATTCAAGGAGTGTTTCTTTGACATGAATATGATAAAGAACTAACCTAGTTTTTACTCCGTACAAGATTTGGTTTCCTAGGATCTGCTCCTTCGTTTATGTATTTGCTTTATTCCCATTGCAGTGGTCTGTCGAGGTTTGTAAATAAGGCTGCTGATGGTGGGATTACTGCTCTTCATATGGCTGCATTGAATGGATATTTCGATTGTGTCCAGCTCCTACTTGATCTTAACGCAGATATATCAGCTGTTACTTTTCACTACGGATCATCTATGGATCTGATAGGCACGTTATCCGTTAAGGATTCATGTAAATATTTGTTTGTTATCACTATGATCCTAACTTGACGTTCTGGACCACATCGTTTTCTAGGATCCGGAAGCACTCCTTTGCATTATGCTGCTTGCGGGGGTAACCTTAAATGCTGTCAGGTGATGATTGTAGTGGGAAGGGAACCGAGAATAACTAAACTTATTTTCCACGATTTCTTTGGAATTCAATTCTCCCCGGTTGATGTAAAACGATAATTACTTGGTTTACAGATGCTCATCGCAAAAGGTGCCAGTCGGTTGACACTGAACTGCAACGGGTAATGCTTAGTTTCCTCTTCTAGATTCCTAAGCGTTCGAGGAAAATTGTTGAATAGTTACTAGAACATATCCTCAATAAATTTGTCCGCTTTTCCAGATTGGTTCCTCTCGATGTTGCTAGGATGTGGGGGCGTCATTGGCTCGAGCCGTTTCTTGATCCAAATTCTGATTCCATAATTCCGCCATTTCCACCCTCGAATTATTTATCGTTGCCCCTCCTGAGTGTCCTTAACATCGCAAGGTACCCAGCATTTGCTCTTGAAAGTAACAAAATATAATGCAGTTTGTCGTTTAGTTGCTAACTATGTGTAATTTAGACTAGAATTCACAGTTTTTTTTACTAGCAAATCAATCCGTAAACTTTTTACGTGTATATTTATGACTGGAAACGAGTGCTGACGATTGTGATTCACTGCAGAGAGTACGGGTTGCGGTCCTCAGCAACAACCCCTTCTGGTGATGTCGATACGTGTGCTGTCTGCCTCGAGAGAGCATGTTCAGTTGCTGCTGAAGGTCCGTTTTTTATCGTTTTTTAATGTCGTCACTTCGCATTAATGGTATGCAAAAAAAAGTCTTTACGTTTACAAATCAAAGCCCAATCTGTTTCCATACATGACTGATTTTGACTTGTTAAGAGTCCCACATCGAAAATATAAGAGAGAACATATGGGTTTATAAAGACATGGGTTAGTCTGACTAATTTATTGGATTCCGTCTTTTAGTGTGGTTTGGCCCAGCTACATTCAATCATTGTTGCATATGTTTTGGAATATACTTTCAGGCTGTGGGCACGCACTTTGCGTAAGATGTGCTCTCTACCTTTGCTCCACGAGCAATGTCCAATCTGAATTGTCGGGTGTTTCGGGCTCCATTCCCTGTCCCCTCTGCAGACATGGCATTGTCTCTTTTGTCAAACTGCCCGGTTCTGCAGCGAAGGAAATTAAACTACATGTATCTCTGAGCTTATGTACCCCGTGCATGCTACATTCTCGAGACGAAGAAAAGTCGATGCCTCCAGGCAGCGGACAGGAAATTAGGAAGAACCGTGTTGCTTCTGTATCTTCGGAGATGCTGTGTCCCGTGACCTGCAGCCCCTTTCCTTCGGTTGCAATCCCTCTGTGCACATGCAACGAGGGGCCATACCCGACTTTTGAGCCAGGAGAAAACGGGAGCCAGGAAGAGTCTCCTAACCGGGGTGAATCCACATCGGAGGAGCAAGAAAAGATGGGCGTGAGATTGGAGAAAACCACGTGTTCGAACATGTTTTGGGGCAGGAGGAGTTGCAGTAGGGAAAACCAGTGTAATGCCGAGATAAACGTTTGACTGACTTGGCAAAACATCTCTAGAGACGAAGTTTTGTCGAATAGCGCCACCCCATGGCTTCGAGATTTGACACCTTCAATCTCAGCTGGTGATGTTTTTTCCCACATTGTTGCCCAGGCATTGCGATTTGCGATGGTTCAACCCCGTCCAGCATTTCTTGTTGCAGCTGGAACTGTAAAGAATTTACGACTTCGAATGCATTTCTTGATTAGTCTTACATTAGTTGTTGATGATTACATGTAGAGGCCCCTTTTATTAGTCTCCAAATGTTTCTGCAGTTTGTATTCCTTAAATTCCTGTTTTTTTTTTTTTTTTTTTTAAAGGTCAATCTAAAGCTCTGTGAGCTGACAGACATACCAATGAATATATGAATCATTTGTTAATCCTTTTGTCTTTTTCATTATCAACACTGATGGATTCACGGAGAATCCCCGGGATTATTCAATCATGTACTGTGGATTCTGGTCTAATACACAGAATTCATGTTCATACATACACAAAAACACGATATAGTGAACATGAATATGAATTATGTGCATTATGAACATAAATTTTGTATATTATATAGTTGAGAACATATAAACACTTAAAGATAATACACAGAATTCATATTCATAATATTGTGGACAAAAGATTATGAGAAGCAAATTCATAAAAACAACAAAAACATTATACTAAACATCTCAGCCCAGTTCAGTAGTACAAACTAACGTAACCCAAAAAAAAAAAAAAAAAAAAAAAAAGAAGAACGAACTAACTGTGCCGTTATGACGGCAATCATCACAGCAACCCAACAGAATACGACACGTACCCTCACACATCTAAAGTCTAAAGAAAACCTAAGACTTGTGATGGGACCCCCAAACAGTTACCCTAACACAACGTAAAGTACAACAACTGTAGGAACACATGTCAATCCTTGATTAGTCAGTCAGCGGATTTCCTGGGACGCACGTTTTTTTTCGGCTATCTCCGTTATTTAACTAACAGTCCGTTGTAAACTCGGCCGGAGGAGCTTTTAGTATATCTCTGAGGAATTCGATCATCTTCTCCGGGCGGCGGTTTCTCGCTGCGCATTAAAGTAGACGGCGGCGACCGGCGTCCCCAACCCGTGCTCTTGGCAGAAGGCGCGAGTGTTGAACCGGTCCCTTGACGGTGGGGCCCGCACCGAATGCCTCGCCCGTTGCTTGAACAATAAGAACACGTAACGGTGTATCCCAATCACCGGCTTCGGCGCTTCATAGCTCACAATTTCCCTTCCTGTATCCGTATATAAATTCATACTTAACTAACTTTGTAACTGTAAAAGAAAATGAAAAAGATTGAATTTTAACAAAAACTACTTGGTTTTCCAGAGATACAACTTTATTAAACATAAGACACCGTAACGAACTAGTTAGTAAAGAACATTTGTTGCCAGAGATACAACTTTATTAAACATAAAGACACTGTAACTAGCTAGTTAGTAAAGAACACTTGTTAGGAGAGATACAATTTTACAAAACATAAATACCGAAAGATACATCAGTGGTGCCAGGAATATCAGTGACAATCCTGCAAGGAAAAACCAGAAAAAACACCATTACTCCATACATTATATTAGGTAGGTTAAGATTAAGACTAAACATAAGACTATGATACGAACCAGTGAAGATGTTCCCTCAAGTATGGATCACTAGGCCCGGGAGCATCCGGATCAGTCATGATCTTTTCTTCCAAAACATAAAAAAACAAGAATTGAAAACCCAGTAATATAATCATCATTCGTGTTCAGATTTTACCATAATAATGTGTGTTCAACTTCACATATAATTTGTGGCCGGAGACTTACAAGAGTGTAAGCAGCTCTGAGATCATCGCCGCCGATCTCAACGCGAGGTTTAGCGGCAATGAGCGGCGGCATGAGTTCATGGCCGTTGTACACTTGGCGGTTGCTGTTGTATGTAACGTTCATTCTCACACTGGGGATGAAGTTATCCACAACTTCCCCAATCACTCTCCCCACCGTAAGTGGCTCTAAAACCCCCCTCGACATTATATTAATTATAGCTCCACTCACTCACTGCTACTATAATACTAGCTAGGTTTTTCTAAGCCCTAAAATGGTGGTTTTGGGTAGCAGAAAACTAGAGTTGCTGCACTGGATGAGTTGCAGAACCAATAGGGCGAGAGTTTAATGTATATATAGATGATTAGTAGGGTACTATAATACCAGCTCGTGGGTTTGGCTTACAATTAAGTTTAAAGATATTCGGAGAATACTTTGGAAGTGCCACATATAAAGGTCGTATATGCCCGCACAATCAATCAAAATAAATTTTCTTTACCAAAAAAAAGACATAATTTTAGGTTTGATAAGTTACCTGGCCATAACTTATCGGTCTTGATTTAAGTTTGATTTATTGAAAGGTTCGGGTAAAATTCACTTTGTAAAATTTAAGTAAAATTCACTTTGTAACCTTAATTAACAAATGACAATAAGAAGATAAACTATGCTATGTTGTCCATAGATTATATATGCCATATTGGCTCAAATCAACCTGGCCAAACTTTAGGTTTGAATAAGTTTCAACTTTGAAGTGATGTGTTTCTTTTACTATATGATCGTGTCGGATGGGGGATGGTGGAAATGTGGAATCACTAGTGAAATTAGGGCGGCAGATGATCAAGCTTCCACCCTTAGCTTGTCTTTAGTGGTGGCTTAGCTTAGATGGCAAGTTTTTGTTTTTATTTCTATTTTTATTTTTTGATCAAAAAGTTTACAACTACACAACTACATGCAATGTCACATATATATATATATATATATATATATATATATATATATATATATATATAATTTGTGTGAGACAGTGTTCGTTAGACGAGTCAGGTCAAAATTAAATATAATACTTATACTAACAAATTAAATGTAATACTAAATCAGGAATAAAATGTTTATTACTTATATAGGAAAAATGTAATACTTTAGAGAAAAAATGTACATTTTTCATTAAAAGTATTATATTTTCCTTTATAAGAGCAACATTACCTAAGGAATACTTTTGATGAAAAAATGTACTCTGGTAATACTTTTATATCAAAATATAAAAGTATTACATTTGTCTTTAAAAAATATTATGTTCCCGAAATCCTACCTCTCTTAAGGGACAAGAGTGCACTACCACTCACGCCAACTAAATTGATGCTAGTATAAGTATTACATTTGCATATTGACCCGATCCAACCCAACTCGATCCGTGAGACGGTCTAACACAAGTGTACCCCACATGAGTAACCAATAAAAATAAATTCCTGGGTAACCAATACTTTTTAAGAATTTTCTTTAATAATTAACATTTGTAAAGTTCCTACTTTCTAGGGAATTGAAGGACTTAGTTTAATGTATCTCTTTGGCTTGGAGTAGGAATGTAGGATGGATCGTCACCATAAGTGATTGGCTTGAGAAGAATGAAGAATATATATTGCTTTTTTGGGGGAGGCTTTAAAAATCATATCTTGGACAAATGGGGAATTCAGGTTTTGATGAAGTGCCGTAAGAACGGAAAAATACTGCTATTAAAAGTATTATATCTATGATCTTCAAAACAAGTACATTCCTTCGTTAAAATAATTTATAAGATCAAACGAATCACAAATACTTAAAAAAAATAAGAAAATTATATATTTAAATTGTTCGATAATGGATCTAGCTAGAACCTTTAATTTGTAGTGGTTCAAGAGATGACTTTAGTTGTACGTATGATCCAAGATAGTATAATTTGAAATACTATACTGTTTTGACTAATTAAGACTATTTAGTTCTTAGAATTTTAGTTTTCTCCAAAAAGTTAAATTTCCAATTCTAACTTAGAGTCTTAGTTTGATTTGCGCGTAGGTTGATACCCCACCTCCATGTATTTGTCATTTGATGTTCTGCATTTTAATTAATTCAAAACAAAATTATTTCGAAAATATTTCATAAATAATAATATAATATGAAAATGACAAGAATCTTTGATGTGTAATAATTTATACATTTGTTCACAGAGGACGATCTTTCTATGAATGATCAAACGATAATTCAACAGTGGACAGAATACGACAGCCAATAAATTATAAACCAACACGAGGCACCTCTTCATTAAGTTATTCTGGCCAGGCCAGCATCTCATTATTTTTGGGTCAACATTTCCAATATGAAATGACTTTGATTTTCTTTTAGTCACATAATGTCGGATTCGCAACATTAATTAATAGTCTTCTTTCTCGGACCAATGAGATCTCTCATTAGAATAGGGTAATGGCTCTATCACAGTAGTTTATTAGTCAATTTTAACTCATTTAACCACTATTAATTGTTTAATTTTGGTTAAACAATCAATATGAGTATTTGATTAATTAGCTTTTCGTAACATCTTATTGCTTTAAAATGCAAATGCTCAAATTTATAAAACTGCTTAAAATAATTTTTTTTTTTTGATCAGTTTTTTGATAAAGGCCCGTTTGGTAAAATAATTAGCCTTTCAGTCAATTTTGACTTATTTAATAAGAATTAGTTGTTTGACTTTGTTAAGCAATCAATATGAGTGTTATTCAAAAAACTATTCAAAGTAGCTTTTTCGATCAGCTTGTTGAGAAAGTCATTTTGTATGTAATCAGCTATCAGCTAACAATTAATTTACCAAACACTTTTCTACAATCAGTTAATGCTATCAACTAGTCAAACCCACTAACCCAATAGCTAACAACTATCATCCATCAGCCATTTACCAAACACCCCCAAAGTCATTTTGCATGTAATCAGCTATCAACTAATAGCTAATTTACAAAACACTTTTCTACAATCAACTAATGTTATTAACTAGTCAAACCCACTAACTTAATCAATTAGCTAACAGCTATTTACCAAACACCCTTGATATCTTCCTACTGAATACAGGCTTTGCCGCAAGGCCAATACCAAGGTCGAGGCGATGGGATCCGATCCCTGCCGTCTGGGCCTCCCCCATCCTAGGGTCCCTAAGGGTAGAAAAAAGATATAGATACCCTAATAATGTAATTAAGTTCAACTCTAAATGCCCTCCAAAGTCTTCTGAGTATGGTGGTTTCGAAATCTTTAGTCCTAAACTTTTAAATCGATCGTCTGTGATCCTTTGAATTTCGAATTCGACCTGCTGTAATCCTTTCGTTAACTGTTGTCGTCTGCGCCGAGAAAAGTAAGGACAAAACAGTCTTTTTTATTTCAACCCCAACCAAAACAAATCATTTCCCTAAAAAATTGTAGAAATGTAGAGCTTTTTTAAAGAACGGTGTTTGCTTTATTGGGAATTATTGGAGAAGAAGTTCGATGGGAGGAGATTAATTAGTGCTAATTTTAATCTTTGAGGGAAATGAATTATTTTGGTTGTGGTTAAAATAAATAGATTGTTTTGCCCTTACTTTTCACGCCGTAGACGGCATATGTTAACCGAAGGACTACAGCAGGTCAAATTCAAAACTCAGAGGATCACAAACGATCAATTTGAAAGTTTAGAACTAAAGGTGGTAAAATCATCAAACTTAGAGGAATGTAGCTGACATTTACTCATTGTATTTATAGGTTCCGGACTTCTGGCCTTAAAGAAAAAATTATTTGACTTTCACGTTTTATTCTGAATATGGAGAGAAAAGGTGGGATGCGAAGTAATTTTCTCAAAATGCATAAAAAAACTATACAAGTGGAAATGATAAATAAAGAATCTAGGGAAAGTATAACAATCATTACCTTAAATGGAAACAAAAAGGGATCGGGGAAGCATCCAGCATTCCACCTCATGGCTTCCAACAAACACCATCTTCAATTCAATTCATAAATCTCTGCCAAGTGTTCTCTCCACCTACAACGTAACAGAGAATTGAAGAATAAAACATTAATGGGAATCTGAGGAAAAAATGTCGTGAGAATCGGTGGGCAGCTGCCAACACCATTTTCTGCCGTTTCTCGATCTAATATAATGTTCCATCCTCAATGCATGTATATGTATATATATATATAATAATGTAAGCTGTGGTGTAATTGGCATCAATGGTGTGTGGGTCCTCATCTTTCCTGGATCGACACCTACCCATCCATGTTTAGCAAATTAAGTGTCGAAGAATAATTCAAAGCAAGAGATTACGAACAAAGATAGAAAAACGAGCGAAATACTTGATTCATCAATTATTGTCTATGTTCATGATAATTCATTCATGATACAAGCACTACTGAAAATTATGGAAATTTTGACCATCTGAAAGTGATCTTAAATCAAGTCGAAAACTTTATTTCGACTATTTTTGATATCTAAAAAAACCTTTGTTGCTATTTCCGATCACTTTTTTGCTTTCGACTTGATTTAAGATTAATTTCAGGTGGTCGAAAATTCTATAATTTCTAGTAGTGAAGTATAATATAATATTTATAAATAACTCTCATGATATATTTACAAAACTAGTCATATAGAGTATCACAGCTATACACAATATAAAGCTTTAATTAATTAATGCATTCTAGCTAATTACTCTAATTATGGCTATGTTTGGTAAACCTATACTAACTGAAAAGGTAGTTGAAAACTGGAAAACTATAAGCTAGAAGCTGAAAATTGTAGAGTTATTAGCTAGCTGATTATGCAAATGTTTGGTAAAATTAATTTTTTTTGATAAACTGATAAATGTAAAAAGACTACAAAGGACATATCTATAAAATTTAAATTAAATGATGCAATTATTATATTATTTTTATATTATTAAATATATGAGATATATCTAAGTTATTAAAAAAATTTGTTTTTATAATATAAATGAGATATATATTATATTATATTAAAACAAAAGAAAAAAAATAATTGATAATGATAAAGGATGTCATTTTTTTTTTATTACAAAGGAAGGGGAATACCCATACAAACTAGGGGTGTAAACGAGCCGAGCCGAGCTCGAGCCTGGGTAGGCTCAAGCTCGAGCTCGTTAATGAAGGCTCGGCTCGAGTTCGAGCTCGGTAATTTTCGGGCTGCTCGAGCTTGGCTCGAGCAGCTCGATTGTTCGAGTTCGAACTCGAGCTCGATCTTGAGCTCGAGTTCAAGCTCGATTTTGACATTGAATTTGACATATTTAATACTTTTGATTTAAAATTCAAACTACTTTGTTTTATCCATACATAAATAATAGAAATCTTTTAGGGATTTTAAGTTTAAAATTTTAATTTTTAATTGTTATTTTTATATATTATATGGCTCGACAAGCCACGAGTCTAGAATATATAGGCTCGGCTCGAGCTCGATTACTAACCGAGCTCAAGCCGAGCTTTGACCGAGCCGCTCGCAAGCGGCTCGGCTCATTTACACTCTTAATACAAACTACGCCTACAACGAGGCTCAAAACCTAGACCTCCCACATAAGGGAGCAATCCGATACCAATAGACCACAAGCCACTTGGTAAAGGATGTCCTTTATTTATGAATAGACGATTGGAGTTAGAACTTTAAGGAGATGCTGGGTGGTGAAGAGTTTCGGAAGAGGATGAATAAAAATATAGGAGAATAAAAAAAAGTCAAAGGGTTTTAATTGGGAAGATTAAAAGATGTCACTTATTTAAAATAATAAGGATAAAAATAAAAAAATAAAAAAAAAGTTAGGAAGCTATTAGCTTATTTTTGAAACGCTACCTAAGGTAATTTTTTAAAATAAATTCTTAAGCTACTAGCTTATTTGGGAACATTACCAAACAAAGCTTATAGCTTATTAGTAGTTTAAAATAAGTTATAAGCTCCAAAATAAACTTTGCCAAACGGAGCAATGTATGTGGGTTAGCTTTGAGGTGTCGATAACTGAAATAGAAAGAAATTAGAAGATAATGACAAAAATGATATGGTTTTAAAAAATGTACAATTTTAGTAAAAACTCATTTTTTTAAAAACAACCATAGAACCAAGTGTCACTTGCGTCTCTCCTCCATGGAAAAGGAGCTCACTAGTCTCATCCCTTCTCTTCGCTTCCATAAGTAACTAGGATTCAGGTTCTTCATTCGCGAAGGGAACTGCAGATTCACGTGTTTTTTTTTTAAATGTTGTTATGCTAGTAGTGGGATTCAAGTTCTTCATTCACAAACAGCAGAATTGATCTGAGTTTGGTGAGCTCTTTTTCCATGGCCAAGAGACGCAAGTGGCACCTGCATCATATACGTGAGACGCAAGTACCACTTGCGTCTTTGGTTGTTTAAAGAAAAAAAGAATTAAGTATATTTTAAAAAAACTCATTTTGAAGATGTGTTTCTGATAAAAAAAAAGAAATACATGTCTCAACTATATTTTCTTAAAATTATACAATTTTTAAAAATATTTCCATTTTTGTCATTGTTTCTAATTTATTTCTATTTCAGTCATGCTATGAGAGGGTTACACGTTGTGCAACTTTACTTTGTGTCAGGGTCAAAGCTGGGACGTGTCATGCTATGGTAGGTGGAGCAGAGTACATGGTCCGACCAAAGCACTTGAAAGTCAAACATTATAAAAGAACACACAACACGTTTGTTGCCAACCATTATTGTGTGGATCATAGTCCACATAAGTTGTATGGACTATATTTTGTATAGTGTAAAATAATATAATTCAATACAAAAATAATATATATTCAATATAAAAATAATATCAGTTGTTATATTATAGACCGCGGTGCATAATCGATTATGCACCGCGGCCCATATACGGCGCCGTTTCTTTAAGTAAAGAAACGGCCCGCCGTTAGAGTTAACGGAGTCCGTTTGTTTGGTATATTAAACACCAACTGACACTACAGTATATCCAAACCGACACTGCAGTTATATCAAAATGATACTGTAGTTATAGTGAAATGAAACTGCAGTGTATATAAACTGAAACTGAATAACATTTCACATATTTGAGTGTATATTGTACAATGAAGCTGTAATTATATCAAAATGATCATGTAGTTGTGTTTTAATAAAACTATAGTGTATATAAAATAAAATTAAATAACATTTTCACATATTTGAGTCTATAAATATCGAATGAAACTATAGTTATATCGAAATGAAACTGTAGTTGTGTTCAACTGAAACTGCAGTATATACAAAATGACACTGAATAACAGAGTTACTTTTTGCAAAACAGTGCGAAATGGCGGAAATAAACACTGTTAATTTTCATTTAAAAAAAAGACGCGCGGTGCATAATCGATTATGCACCGCGGTGCATAATATAATTTGCCAAATAATATACATTGTATTCAGGGAATGTATATTATTTTTGTACTAAATATACACTATATTGTATAATGTACATTCAGTACAAAAATAATGTACATCTAATATATTAAAATACTTTTATTATAGTCCACGTAACATTGTGTAGACCACAATAATTCAATCGTTATGCGTTGAACCCGTGTCCAGCATGCTAAATATACACTATATTGTACAATGTACATTCAGTACAAAAATAATGTACATCTAATATATTAAAATACTTTTATTATAGTCCACATAACATTGTGTAGACCACAATAATTCAATCGTTATGCGTTGGACCCGTGTCCAGCATGCTTGCTGGACACGGGTAACAGTGCCGTTAGGCACTGTTATCTCTTTTTTTTTTTTTTTTTTTTCAGACCGCTTCGTTATAGGAGTATATGTTTATAATTTTATTACTATATGTTAATAACTGTACATTCATAACTCCATAACTGTACGTTCATAACTCTATAACTGTACATTCATAACTCCATAACTGTACATTCATAACTCCATAATTGTACATTCATAATTTTCGAAGCTCTATGTTCACAATTTTAGAGCTCTATGTTCATAATTTTATCATCACTATATATTCATAATTGTAAGTTCATAATGTTAGAGCTCTTTGTTCATAATTCGATCAATAACTATACATTCATAATTTCATACTGTAGATTCATAATCTCATAACTGTAGATTCATAACTCCATAACTGTAGATTCATAACTCTATAACTGTACATTCATAACTCCATAACTGTACATTCATAATCTTCGAAGCTCTATATTCACAATTTTAAAGCTCCATGGTCATAATTTTATCACTATATATGTTCATAATTGTAAGTTTATAATGTTAGAGCTCTGTGTTCATAATTGCATAACTGTACATTCATAACGGCATAAGTGTACATTCATAACGGCATAACTATACATTCATAATCCAAAAAACAAATAACGCCGTTAACGGCAAAACGCGCGCGATTTTTTTTTTTTTTTTTTTTAACTAAATGACGCGTTTTTTTTGAAAAACGACGTCGTTTTGGGCGCGTGTCCACAATTCTTTGTGGACACGAGTCCAGGGCATAATTTGCCACAATAATTTGCCGCTTGTTGCCGTGTCGGTTTTATCCTAAATTCTGAGTTTGCTGATGAAACTGAGGCCCAAACGATTTCATAGAAACTAGAATGGAGATTTGAGTACAAGCTGGGCTATTTTGAAAATGAAACCCATTTCGGCTGACGCACGATTGGGCTCAACCAGTCAAAGCTGGATAGTTATGCTGTGCATCCGTATGCATCATGCATGGTGTATATGGATACCAAAACGACGTCGTTTTATTAAAAAACGTGCGTCTTCCCTTTAAAAAAAATTCAGGTTCGATTCCCAGCAACAACATTATATTGTTCATTCATTCTGAAATTTTAGTTCATAGACTATGGAATTATAGTTCATTGATTATGGAATTATAGTTCATCGATTATGGATTGTAGTTCATCGATTCTGAAATTTTAGTTTATAGATTATGGAATTTTAGTTCATTCATTCTGGAATTTTTAGTTCATAGATTAGATTATGGAATTATAGTTCATCGATTATGGAATTTTAGTTCATATGTTGTTGCTGGGAATCGAACCTGATTTTTTTTCTTTTAAGGGGAGACGCGCGTTTTATTAAAACGACGTCGTTTTTGCATCCGTATGCACCATCATCATAATTTGCCGTCAAAGCTTAAGGATTTTTAATTTATTTTTTTCTTTAAAAAAAATCAATTACCAGATTCAAAGCATATTGACACCTATTCCATTCACAACCAGCAATAAGCCATTACCTCCCGATCGATCATTAACATGGCGTTTGGTTGGAAGAAAGGGAAAAAGAAATTATAATTTGATAGGAAAAAAAGTGAGAATAAAGTAAAAATTCAAATTACATTGTTTGGTAAGGATGAATAGAATTATTGGGAATGAGATGGAAAGAAGGGGTATAAAGACTAAAATGTCCTTGTATAATAATAATGCTAATAATAATCAAGGGTAAAAAAGTCACTTTCCTCTCTTTTCCCTTTCCTTCCTCATTGAATTGCAGTTCATATGAGGTATGAAGAAGGGTATGAATTGCAATTCCCTCCAATCAAACAGTGTAATTTAGATAGCCAAAGAATTAAGCTGTAATTGAATGACAACTACATCCAACCAAACAACCCATTATGGCCTAAGAATATGCAAATCGAGAGTGTTTCACGTTATGACCTTAAGCAAATTGATATGTTCACTTCCAATGTGTTTAACAGAACAAATGAAATTTCAATGAAGCATGTAACGTAAATCTTTAATGATAATGATAAAACACTGATTACTTAGTAATTTCTCTTCAAATTTTGCAGGTTGTTACGAGGTAGCTTGTCTCTAACTCTACTCTGTCCAAGCATTGATAGACCCACCCATACGTGAGTTATGGTGCTCATAGCAACTCCCACACCATTCCAAAACCTAACTAAACATTGCCTTCGTGCATCCCTAATATAATCCCCCAATTGAGATTTGTTAGGAATACCCTTTTTCACTACTATCCATGTTAAGAAGATGATGATTGTGTTCTAAACATTGCTAGCTAGTCAAAATTAGATGTGACACACACAAGGAACATAAATATATCAAGAAAAGCATAACATGAATGACCAAATGTTTAACTCAAAATAAACATTTGTTCATAGGAACATAAGTAATCACCATCGAAATATACTGATGAATGATAAAGACTTCCGTATACTAATAATAAGAAAAATATTCTTTTAAAAACAATATTATTGTAATTATTATTGGACAGACAATTAGTACAACAACGTAACGGCGTAGATGTTTCAGGGTTGATTCGCAATGGTAACTCCGAAACTCCGTTATTCGGTACGAAAAGTAGTTACTGCCACACATGAGAAAAAGGTAATAATAATAATAATAATATATAAAAAGGGCTAAGAAGCTTCGGGAAAATGGACCCCAAGAAGACAAAGGTTAGCCGAGACACGTGACTCATTGTCGCACGTGCCTCTCCTCGTAGTCGTACAGAGACCCTATCACGGATTCACACCTCTCCGCCATTCTCAGCTAATCTATCGATCTAATCATTCATCATCATCCTTCCCTTCCCTTTCAATTACAAACCCTTTGATTTTGCCTGTGGCACTGCCTAAGCCACGGCGACTCTTCGTTATCCTCGCCGTTTTCCGGCTCCGATTTCACGTCCGTCCCCGGCTGCTGCAGCCGTAAATCGTGATCCTGCTCCGCCGATCCATCCTCGCCTTCACGCACCCGCTTTGACCCGATCGAGACTCCGAATAGTCTCGCTCGCATTTCGTCAGGCTCCGTTTGGTTCTCTCCGCCGCAGCCGGCGGTGGCGGTGGCGGTGGCAGGCATGAGATCGAGCGGCTTTAGGGATTGCAAGCTGCTTTCCGCCGATTGATTGCTGGAGTTGGAGTTATTGCCGGAGTAATTTGACATTAATGCGTATATATTGTTGCATAGGCTTTTCATCTGGCTCAGCTCCTTGTTTAGCTCTATGTTCTCCTTCCTCAGCCGCTCGTTCTCTCCGATCAGCTCCGATGTACTTCCTCCTTGCGATGCATCTATCGCGGCTGTTCCGGGAGACGAGTTAGATGACACTACTTGCTCTTCGCCTGAATTCGAAGGTGTAACCGTCTTCGATGGCTGTGCAGGAACGGCTGCTACAGCCGTAACCGTAACCGTAGCAGTAGCCGGAGCGGCCGTTACAGCGGTGGAGGGCACGGCAACGGCAGCTGCCGCTACTTTCCGGCGCTGTATATCGCATAACAAACGTTTCTCACCTCTCCGGAAGCAATCGTTGGAAAATTCCCATCGATCGGGTACAACTTTCCGGAATCCCTGAAAATCGCGATTGATTCATAAACTAAGCATCAAATCAAAAGAGTTTCCCGTACAAATTTGGTGATATAGAACTCACGTATGTGTTGAGTTGACGAACGAAGCTGGAGAAATTGTTGTGTTTGAAATATTTAGGAAGCAAATCCCTAGCGAACTCAGTCGGATTCCACACGATGAAGCTAGATCCGTCTTCGTTCCAGGAGATCACATCGTCGATGGAGCGGTCGTCCACAAGCTGGAACGTTTTCGTCAGAAACGGCGTCGGAACACTCCTCTGCGCCTCTCCACCAGCCGTTGTTTCTCCTCCGTTACGCTCCACCGGCGGCACCGGAGGACCCATAAATTCCAAAATCAACCTGAATCACAACCCAAAACCATTCACAAACAACGCAAACGCCAAAACGATTCTTCTAAAACTTCAGAAACAAAAACTTAAACACAGAAACCTTTGAGCTGGAAAACAGACAGGGATATTCACTTTAACGAAGCTACTGATGCAGATCTGGTGTGCAGATGCACGGCGGCGAAGAAGGAGACGTCTGCAGCGGTGGGTGTGGAGGAGGAGGAGAAAGAGAAGGAGAAGGAGGAGAGATGGGTAGGAATAAATGGTAATTCTAGAAGGTTCCTATGGTGTATGTTACTTATTTCAGTGGGGGGTGGGAACCTAAAAGTACAGATAAGATAGGAAATTTCGAGATATCGGAGAAAATGAGAAAAAAGAAATTGAAAAGTGGAATAATAAAAGTTGAAACAGTGACTACATACGTTACACCTATTTGGCCATTTGTGCATAATAAATAATAATTAAATAAAAATAAGGCTTTTCCAGAAGTTTCTTTCCAGATGTTATGCGTGTCCAATAGTCCATTGAGATAAAAGGTTGTTGTGATGTGTTTTCCGAATTTTTAAAAAATTCCAAATACTATTTTTAAAATTATCAAATAAATTTATTTTTTAAAAACATATCACCATTTGCAGATATACCTTCAGTCCTTCACCACAACTGACCAATCTATTATACGCTCATCACATGGACATCTATCCCACCCAAAGATAATACTACAATCTTTTCTCTGAGTTTTTTCTTGATTTAACTTTATTTTAGCCTCTTAATTATTAAAGAGCTTTTTTCTTTTTTAAATTTATCATATTTGGTCTCATAATTATTGAAATAATTAATTAAAAAAGTGACCCTTTTAATAGTGGTAGACTAAAAGTGATACATTTATCAATAGACAATGGAGAAAATTCAGTGGATTTTGAATACAAAAATCAAAAGTTAAAAAAATATATGCTCTGTTTGGCAGAATTTATAAATTATTTTAAGCTACTAATAACTTATAAGCTCTGTTTAGTAATTTTCTCAAAATAAGCTAGTAGCTTAAAATAAGAACTTATTTTGAAATATACATTAGCTAGCGTTTCAAAATTAAGTTAGGAGCTTCCTAACTTTTTTTCATCTTTATCCTTATTATTTTAAATAAATGACATTTTTTACCTCTCCCAATTAAAATCCTTTTCTCATTTTTTCTTCTCCTATATTTTTATTCACCATCCAGCAACTATTTAAAGTTCTAACTCCAATCGTCCGTTCATTAATAAATGACCTCCTTTACCCTTGTCAATTAAAAACTTTTATTATTTTGTTTTAATTTAATATATATCTCTAATATATTATAAAAACAAAAGCTTTTTTATAAATTAAATATATTTCATATATTTAATAATATAAAAATAATATAATAATCACATCATTTAAATTTTATGAGAATATCATTTTTATTCTTTTTACATTTATCAACTTATCAAAAAGCTAATTTTACCAAACACATAATCAACTAGTTAACAACTCTTCAGTTTTCAGCTTTCAGCTACTTTTCAGATAAATTTGCCAAACATAGCCATAATAGTCGAGAGGATCGAAAGTATAATTTATTCCCTTTTTTTCTCTTACAGCCCGTTTGATTCACTAGTAAATATTTGAAGAGAAATAGAATTGAAATTCAATGGAAAATAAATTTCAAGTGTTTTGTTGGTGGAAAAAAAATACTAGGAATATGGATTCCATTATTTGGTTGTTTTTTTTTTTTTTTTTTTTTTTGGTACATATTTAGTTGGGTTTTGAAATGTAAGGAACAATGAATATAAAAACCAATATGTCCCTAAAGATGAATAAATAAATGGGTATCTATGTAATTAAGAAACTTTCATAAGGGTAAAATGGTCCGTCCAATCATGTTATTTTTTTCTCAAGTTTTGCGGAAAACAAAATCTCACCCCTTAACAAAGAATTCATTTTTCTCAACTTTGAAAAATTCATTTTTCATGAACCAAACAACATAAAATTATATTTTCTTTAACTTTTAGGAAAATATTTTTCATCCAACTAAACACCTCATTAGTTCTCGTCAATAAATTATAGTCATCACACTTAAATTTCAATGTTTCATTTATTCACCACCGTTATATTTATCACGTTTTTTTTTTTTTTATATATATCTATTCACACCTTGATTGAAATTTAGATTATTATTAAAAGAAATTTTGATATTTCAAATATTTTCAACGTAATTTTTGATATGCGGTTACCAATATATTACTCCATTGGTACTTTTATATGAATAAAATAATGAAAGTAAAAAATGTTTACAATAAAATAAATATATAGTGAACAACACCTGTAAGGCTATAACTGAAATAGACCTTTAAGTGTCTTTGTAATATTCTAATTGATTGATTCTAATTCAGCCACATAACTCGATAAAGTACTACCTATTACTCCTAATTCGTATATAGCAATCGGTTGTAAAGTATTGAGTTAATTACAATGTTTCAACTTTAAATTAATTTTTTTGTCAGAGTTGTTTATTAGATTTTTTGTTTGAGCCGATAAGCTATTGTTAATTTAGGTTGATTTATTTATTTATTTATTTTACAGTTAGGGTTACAGAACAAGTTATGCACAGCACAGGACCTCAAATTTTAGAGCGTCTAATATTTAATTTTTATATATAGTTCAAATGAGAATAGTCCACGTGTAAAAAGTGAAGAGTGATCACTATCGTCGTCACTTTTTATGTAGGAATCTGTTATCATTTGAATTTTGAACCCTCTTATATATGGCAAGAAAGTTTAGGGCAGTAACACGTCGGAGATCTGATCTGTGTGATGGTCGACGGCGGGAAGTGATTAGAGCCTTAGAGGTGAAAAGAGGGTAAGGTTGGGTGATGTTAAGGCAAGACAGGAACATGTTTGAACCGAAAGGTGATTGTGTGTCCCCATTAAGCCAAGAGAGCCACAAGTTGGTTATCCAAACAACCATCCCCTAACTAACACTGCCCCATGCCAACCTTAATTAGCTACATATATGCTGGCCTTGCCACTTTTCTGGTTTAATTTCAATTTTGTGGGTTCCGGCCGGACAATTGATACTCGGAAAACACATCACTCAAACTACTAAAGATCAGATATATGATGGTGATTCTAATATCATGTATTCATGTATATGTTAAGAAGATGGCTCAATCATCTCTTTAATTTGTCAACTTCACAAGGGATTATAGAGTGATTCAATATTTCAATAATTTAAGATCAATTAATGTTGGTTGGAATGAATTGTTGAGGAAAAAAAATCAAATTGACCCCCTAAGTTAAATAGATAGTACAGTATTTTTTTTTTTTGAATGCTACTAGCTCTATTACATTGTAGTATCTGTTCATATACTTTCTCAACCTACTGAAACACAAAGAGCCAATAACGCCTCCACTGAGGCTCGAACTTACAACCTTCCAAATAGATAGTACAGTATAATTGAACATCTTAATTAAAAAAAAAAATTCAATTAAGGGTTTGAATTGAGGGTTTTTTTTTTTTTTTTTTTTTTTTCATTTAGGTGTCTGAAATGCACTTTACATTCAATTTAGGGGGTTAATTTGATATTTTCTTCTCCCAAAAAGTTGAATCCATAATCTTAAGGGCCTCCACACTCCGACCTGATAGAACATAAATCACGGTGACTCAATGGTTCGGCAAACAGAGCCAAATGCCCGTGCACACAATGAATCTGTCCACTTTGGACATAATTCCCACACGGACCCCCGCACAGTTTCAAATCTTGGTCTCTTCTTTTAAATACTGTCCACTAAACCATTGAGGTAAGTCCGGATGTTAATTTGATATTTTGTTTTTATAAATGGTTGTTGGGAGTTGACTGTTGGTGCCGTAGTTGACACCGTTGTCAAGTTGTGGGTGGCGAATGAGATTTTTGTCGATAAAAAGACAATGGAACATGGGCTTCACCCTTTGTCTCTGGACTTTCTAGAATTAGGCCCGTATTCCACAAAATCACCCACTACGAATCTTTCCATCTTTTTTCAACTTTTATTTTATTACACTAAACCCCTTAGCTTATGTATTAATGTTTTTTAGATAATATCTAATTTCTCCCTTGACTATAGTATATTTTTTCGATTTAATCTTAAACGTCTTTTTGTGTTTAATTTGATCCTCAATTTTGATAATTTCCCCTAATTGAGTCCATTGGTGGAGCCACAATGGGGGCAGTGGGGGCAGCTGCCCCCACTGCCCTACCCTATATAAATGGTATATATACTAAATATATTAAAATTTAAACAAAGTTTGTGTTGGTTGGGATGGTAAAGTCATTAGTTTTCCACCTAATATAGTGAAAGGTTAGCAGTTCAAACCTTGTTGTTGGCATTTTTTTATTTTTAATAATTCTAATATTTGGCATTTTTTATTTTTAATAATTCTAATATTGCCTTTTTGTAATTGTGTTTAGTTGCCATTTGTTTTTCACTGCATTCCAGTTTGTTCCTATTTGTTTTTTTTTTTTTTTTCGATCTACTAATATTAACAATATTCTAATATTGTCCTTTCTAACTGTGTTTAGTTGCCATTTGTTTTTCACTTCTTATGCATTCTATTTAGTTTCCATTTGTACTGATGTAGTTGTTTAATGGTTATGTTAATTACTAAGGACGAATACATTTGCTGAAAATTCGTTAGTGTTAGTTGGTATAGTTGTTTATTTGGAATAATTAGTTAATGTTAGTTAGCATATAGTAGTTTAATAATTTTATTTGTATTTGATATTTTGTATTTTGTAGTTGAACATTTTGTAATTTATTTTACCTTTGCTTTTTCGCCCCCACTCAACATAAATCTTGGCTCCGCCACTGATTGAGTCATCAGCTATTAAAGTTAAGGACCAAATCTAGAAAAATCACTAAATTCGAAGACTAAATTGGGTATTACTAGATAGCTCAATTAGGGAAAAATCATTAAAGTCGAAGATCTAATTAAGCATAAAAAAATGTTTAAGACCAACTCGAGAAAAATCACTATAGTCAATGACTATATTGATATTAACTCAATATTTTTAAAAGTTTAGTTTTATATTCAATTATAATAAATAGAGCAACAAGTATTGAAAGAATTTTCATGAATAAAGACTATATATACTTCAACTTTGGACTAATTGAAGCTAAAGAACCCAAATAATAATAATAATAATAATAATAATAATAATAATAATAATAATAATAATAATAATAATAATAATAATAATAACAACAACAACAACAACAACAACACATTGATGGAAACATCACATTTTTCTATGTATATATTCGATTAACGGTATTTGATTCAAGTTATTTACAATTATTTTTTTGTAATATTTAATTTAGTTAATTTAGAGTTAATATATATAATTTATATATTTGAAAATTACAAGGAAAAGTAATACTAAATACCAAAAAAAAAACAGAATTTAAAAATTATTAAAAAGAATATGAAAAAAATAAATAAACAAAAAAAAATTGACTTGTAAATAAATAACATTTTGACATATTGAATAAGATATAATGTCATGTCAATGCGAGTAAAAATAAATATATAAAATGATTTATTTTTACGAAGGCGACATAGCGTAACTATTTCTTTATTTTTATAACCCTAATCATGTGGGCCCCACCAAAACATAAATATCAAGACCCACGGTCCACGGATGGATGAGAATCACCCTCCATGAATAAAAAGGTTTAGATATTTTTATGTATACAAGTTTTATTTTTACTTCTTATATTTAATATTTAATTCTCATTTATAAACTTTGATGTCCATTCCAAAAATCTTTTTCTGATACCCTGAAAAATATCTCCTCTGGTTCCTTGAAATTAACCTCTTTATTGTCAACTATTATATAGTGTAATGACACATCTGTTACTATTTTAAATGGACAATCACAATATCGAACACTGGTGGTGAGGACATTGATTCTTTAGACTGAAAAATATTGAGAAAGTATATAACATATATACTACTGATGGGAAAAATTCTTGAATCGTAACCCACTATATGTGCTCCGCATATTCCCACCTAAGTCCAGAAGTCCCGTTCCCCAACCTGGATAACCTCTAACGACTTCTTAGTTATTTATCGTGCTCGGACACAAGAACCAACCTCGTACGGTCGGAAGGACTACCCTGACCCCATAGTATTCAACTATTCACGATTCAAGGAAATAACCTAAACCAACCACCTCGCCCGATCACATCCCAATAATATAATCAGGAATCTCATTACATGTGTACCAATTGAGATCGCTCCATTCAAGGTCGCTGGTGCATGCAAGACGCGTGGCTAACATGCCGAGTTCCTGACATGTGTCCCCTTCAAACCTCTATATAAGACACATTTAATGCCTTGTGGGATGACTTTTGAATTTTCTCAATGACAAGACATCTTAGCTCGGAAACGTTCATTCCATTGTCTAAGTTACACGAACTCACGCACCTACTTCGTAGAGTATACGCAAGTATATTTGAAGATACCAGTGTATTTACCACATCAATTACGTACCTTGCAAAAAATAATGGGTGTTAAAAAAAAATATTTACCCCAATAATATGGTATATGTAAAATATGATAACGATTAAGAACCCCTAGTTCTGATAAATAAGGCATACTGAAGACATAATAAGAATTTAAGATATAAACAATGATCTTATTAAGATACAATTACCAAACGCAACTTATCAAGTTGTAATGTAGGATTAGGTTTGATCATCAATCTTGAAAGCAAGCATGTGTTGCAGATTGGTACTTGTAACAGAGCTAATAATAATATAATCCAAAGATTCCAAAACATTTTGGGTTAGGCAGTTATGTCTCATTAACAAGAATCAATAAAAGCAGTAGGAAATTAATATATACTTGGCAAGAAAAAAGAGTTGGAAAGGTGCAAAATATATAAATAAATAAATAAGTAAAAGAGAAAAGCACATGTACTTTCCACCTAACTGCCTAAGAAGAACACCCTATTACCCTACATTATTCTATAAAAAAAATTTCAATTTTGGTCACACGATTATAGAGGCTTTGTTAATTTCAGCACCTAACTTTTAAAAATGGTCAATTTAGTACCTTGAGTATGTAATTTTTGTCAATTTTGATCACTTCGGTCAAATTTGGCCAAAAAAATTTAATTCAACATTTAGTTTAAAATCTTAGGGCAAAATGATCTTTTCTATCATTTCTCCTAATTGGTGTTGACCGAGGGACGTGTTGGTAACCGGGGGAAAGGAGTGGCGCCGCCATAAACTACGTTGACGGTATTTCCTACTTCGGCTATGCACCGAGAACGGCGAAAGGAGTGGCGTTGCGCTCTTGTGTGGCGGTGTACAAGGTCAACTGGGATGAAGGAAGCGTCACTTCTGACCTCATCGCCGACATGGACCAAGCAATCGCCGATTGCGTAGATGTAATTTCGGTTTTCCTCGGTTATCGACATGTCCCTCGGTCAACACCAATTAGGAGAAAGGATAGAAAAGACTATTTTGCCCATAAAATTTTAGACTAAATGTTGGATTAAAAATTTTCGGCCAAATCTGGCCGGCAAATTGGCCGGAGTGACCAAAATTGACAAAAATTACATACTCAAGGTACTAAATTGACACTTTTGAAAGTTAGGTGCTGAAATTAACAAAGCCTCTATAGTCGTGCGACCAAAATTGAAATTTTCTCTTATTCTATATCTCTATGTGATATTTAGGATTTGTTTAGTTCATGGGTTTATACACCAGAAATAAAAATTAAAATTATAGTTAGTGTTTAGTTGACAATTTTGTAAAACACAACATATTTGATTACTCATTCAATTAAAAATGAATTTCATTCCATCTTATTGGTAATATGATTTTTAAGTTTAGATTATTGCTTTTATATTTTGTTTTGATTTTTTTGTTCATATTGATGCTTTGGATGTTATTATATTAAGATCAATTGCCTTGATTTTTTCTATTTTTATATTTTTAAAACTTTTATTCCTAGTATTGAATCATACGTAACCAAACATCAATATATATAATCATTTCAATTCCACCCTACACTCAAATATTTAAAATACTTTCACCAAAATCATTACTATTACAAATATTTTATTCTCATCTCAATTTATATCCTATGTGTTAACCAAACAAGAGTGTAGGGCATTTAACAGCTGAAAATGTTGACAAAGACATCACGAAAGCATAGATGATATTTAGACTACCCATACAATATCAACCAATATACACTGTCAATTTCTTCTTCTTTACGCGCGCGCGTATATATATATATATATATATATATATATATATATATATATATATATATATATATATATATAAATAGAGATCAAATGCGGATGATGTGCCCAGATGAAAGCTGTAGTTGAATGATATAGTCGTTGATCTCGTTAAAATTAACTGTTCAGATTGAATATAGATTAAAAAAATGCAGTGGCAATTTGTTTTTTTTTTTTTGTGTTTAGGTCAAACTTAAGGTGCGTAATTTTTGTGTTTTAATGTGCGCCTTTTTCCTTCTTAAGGTGCATGATTTGTGTGCACGTCAGATATTCAGTTGATAACTTAAGGTGCATTTTTTTAAATTTTTTATTATAAATTTTTTTATTGATTTGAACCGTTGATTTAGATTAATTAGATCAGCGACTCAGATCTCATCTAATTTTTCACCTAAGAAAAGCTTCACACGTGAACCATCCCCTATATAAGGATGTAAATCATAGTTTATCGGCTCAAATTGATAAGACTTATAGACAACTCTTAAAATCAAACTTGAAATTTGATGATTATCAAACCAACCATCTAACTAAATTAGAGTTAAAATAAGATGAATCCTTTAAATATGTTTCTTATTATTCAAAGCAACTCTCCTAAAGGCATAATTATAAGGACCTTATATTTGAACGCGGAGAGAAAACGTAAAAAAGTGCAAGAAAAGAAGGTTATGCGCATAATTAGAAAAGAACGAGTTTATGTCAAGTGTATAGTATATCAAAAAAGGAGAGTGATTATTTTCTTCCAAAATAAAAAAATAAATATATTTAATTTGATATCACGTGAATGTTTTTCCTTAATTTCTCCACAATTTTCTAATTCTTTTTTCAACCTAAATAAGGGAAATTAAAGTTATACTCCATATTTTCTTTTTCTCACATTTTATACCCATCTAAACTCACTATAAAATTTCGTCATCGTTACCGTCAACAATCAAAGATACCAACAACTAACCCCCGGGTTCTCCGGCCCTCGACAACCGCCGAATCCCATGTAGTTTTGTTCTCCCGGCGATTCTCGGAAAGGTTCTCCGGTGATTCTCCGTTATCGCGATGGATCAGAACCAGAGTAACAGCAGCACTAGCAGTTCGAGAACCTCGTACTGGACGAACGAGAGGCACGGACATTTCCTGAACTCGCTCGAGTCTTCGTTCGTTCGGAACATGTTCGGAAAACAACACCGCGACGACGACGACGAGGATCGGCGGCTCGACCGTGTTTTGCCGGACAGTGCCGAGTCAACTCTCGACCACGGATCGGGAAATGGAAGGGGAAGGAAACATTCTTCTACAGGTAATTTCCATGTCAACTTTGGATCACCATCACATTATTCATTCATTCATCCATTCATTCGCATTGCATGCCTAACTTAATTATTAATTGCTGTTTTTTTTTTTCTTAAAAAAGTGTTTTGAATATTAAACTGTATAGTTTTTATACGTTTTTTTTTAAGAACTAAGCAGCTTTTATATATATATATATATATATATATATATATATATATATATATATATATATATATATATATATATATATATATATATATATATATATATATATATATATATATGAATGTGTTAAGTCATTATATAAGCGTACAGTTATATTGTTATTGGCTATATTATCCATAACACATGTTTAGTACAATTTGAAAAGCCAAAAGCAACAAGATTTGACATTTATTTTGTTGTTAAATGCAAGGATTGCAAGATATTTTAAGGAAAAGAGGTGATACGGACAAGGCAACAAGAAGACCGTCATCCAAATCTTTTACCTCAAATCAAGATCAGGTTTCAACTTTTTTACTCGCAGTAACAAATATAATATCTCATCTATTTTACCAACCAAATAATAATAACAATAATAATAATAATAATAATAATAATAATAATAATAATAATAATAATAACAATAACAACAATAAATATTATTATTATTGTGTGGACAATAATCAAGAAATTAAATACATTATTATGAATGGGGTCAGATTCTCGTGCGAATAGTGATTCCCGTTCCGTGCAGTCACTCACCACCATTAGATATGTATAAATACACTACAAAATATTAAAAATACACCATTATGTGAGGTGCATTTTTATATACCTAAGTGTAAATACGCACTGATTGTACAAGAAACCCTTCAATATTTGAATCAGTATAATGAATGGGGATGATTGGTGAGAGGCATATAGGCAATAAGACGCCGTAATTTTCCCAAAAGATCTTGCATTATATTTGAGTATTAAAATTATGATTAATATATATAATGATGATATGAATATATTTACATATATAGATGATGGAAATGTTATTCTCACAGGTGGTCCCACAGCTAAAATATGCAAAAGAGGATAAGGATGCTGAAAACAACGTTGATGCTTCTCAAGACCGACGACGACAAAACTAATTAATTAAAACCAGCCATAGCCCATCCCTATTTCTTAATGGTCGTTTGGTACGGTGATTTATTAGTAATATGTTGAGGGGTACGAACTTAGAGTCCATTAATAATGGCAGTTTTTTTTTTTTTTACCTCAATGTATAGATATGATCGCGTGTGTCACTGTACTCCCGAGTGTATATATGCTACAATCTTTCTCATCTCTATCATCATTTTCTTTATTAATAATACTTTCTTTTTATTTATCATTATTGATTAATCTTATATGCAACCATTTCATATACTTTACTCACTACTTAAAAAGATTTTAGATAATAATCAAATCAATCAAACACTTAACATCATGTTTAGTAAAATAGTTAATTTATCAGTTAATTTTCACTTATTTGACTACTATTAACTTTTAAAAAACTGTTCAAAGTAATTTTTTCGATCAATTTTATAATAAAGTCATTTGTATGTAATCAGCTAATAGTGATATTTTTCTACAATTAGCTAATGCTATCAACTAGTCAAACCCACTATATAACATAAGTGTAAATAAATATTAGATTATATTAAACATGGAACATTGGAGAATGAATAATGTCATAGTAGTTTAGGCATTGATTTGAGGAAGTGAGGAAATAGGCAAATAGCTAATGGGGTTATTCTAGGTTGGTATGGCGTGCGCGGACGGCTTCAGGGCTTTGCCCCAAAACTTGACCTAATTTGTAAACCACCATCTCAAACAGTACAAACATCGCCGCTTCATACAAGCTTCCCATGGGTAGCAATGCGCTGCTGCTTTCCTCGCCGCCGGCAACGGCTTGATCATCGGCCATAGTTTGAGCCGGAATATAAGCAACGGAGGTGGCGAATTCCACGGAAGATCCGGAGTGGGGCTGAGCCGTGAGGAGCAGAACGCGGGCGCCGCTGGATCTAGCAACCCCGCAGATGGCATCGACGGTGGAGAAGCCTCCTGGGCCGGCGGAAGCGATCAAGAGGTCGGAGGCGGAGGCGGGAGGAGTGGTCATGTCGAAGACGCAGTGGGCGGAGAGTCCTAGGTGGAAGAGGCGCATGCACAGAGCCTTCAGCATCAGACCTTCCCGCCCTACGCCGTATACGAAGATGCGGCTCTTTCTGGTGGCTGCGGCCGCTATTTCTTCCACCATCACATCAAGCGCCGCCGGGTTTGAAGTAGATTTGGAGAAGACGGAGCTTATCTCTTTGCATATATCAGAAGCCAATACTGATGACTCTGTTGATGAGGCCATTGCTTTGCAGCTGCAGGTGTCAAACTTTCTCTCGGGCTATACCTATACTATAATCCACAGTCTGCGGTCTAAATTAAGCAAGCCATCTCCACTGACGTCACAAATACCATTTTAATGAATTATTATTACGGAGTATTATTTTGGGTGATAGGAGAAATTCAATGATTTAACTTGTGAACCACCCATAAGAAAGGTCAGGAGTTCAAACCTCTTCTGGTATGATATGAAAAATCAATCATAATAGTACTTTATTCTTTAATTAGGTTAATTTGAAATCAGATTAGCACTTTGTTCTTTAATTAAGTCGGCTCGGTGCAAATGAAAATAATGAGAATTAGTCTGAATATGATACGATCATATGAATTTAAATGTACCTCTTACAATTAGAATAAACCCGTGAACCTCCCTCAAATACAAGAATCAAACTCATTATTATATACATTGTTGAAGTTAAGGATCAGAGATGCCTCTTATCAGCTACAAATTGCTCCAGTTGATTAAATACATTTGAAATTCGTTTGTTTTTAGTGCTATGTTATATAACTGTGAAATTGTGCAAATAATGAATTACTATGGCATTTTCATAAATAAATAAATAAAAGCATTATTATACTTCATACATTCAGTTATTTTTTACTTTTTTTTTTGTAAAATAAATATTTTGACATCAAAAATAAAATTTTAAAAGAATTTAAATGATACGGAGTATGATTTTACTGTTAAACTTCTTTTTTTTAGACAGTTAAGGTGTTGCAATGACTCAACAAATAGACTAAACAACTTGAAACGTTACAATTTCACATTCAAATAGACTCACAACTAGTTCTTGCTTTAAGACATAATCGGTCCAAGTACATATGAGGTCCCTGTACTATAATGTTTTATTTAATTTAGTCTTTTTACTTTAATTTTGTTCATATTAATCCTTATACATTAAAAATTATTAATGTAATATATTGATAGTAAAAATAATTAATTTTAAATATTTATAAAATAATATATGAATTGGCATATAAGTATGATGACATAACAGAGATAATGTAGCGCCACATAAACTATTGACCTTAATTGTTTTACTTTTGAAAGTATATGGACTAAATTGAACAAAATTAAGGTAAAATGACTAAATTAAACAAAACACTATAGTACATGGACCTCATAGGTACTTTGACCGACATAATCTAACAATTTGAGAGAATTAATAATCAAACTATTTTTTTTTAATACTATTGACTCTATTACAAGGTAGCATCTGTTCTATACTTTAACTCTTTTTTTTTTTTTTTTTTGAATACTATTAACTCTATTACAAGGTAGTATCTGTTCTATATTTTCTCAGCTACAGAAGTGTCATCTGAGCACAAGGTATAAATTGAGTATGGTTAAACTATTAATACAACTATAAAGTCAAAAGTTTGAGAGTGAGTTTGGTTAAAAGAAGTTTAATATTGAAATATAGGATAAGCCTTAGGAAAGAAATTGTAGTATCTATACTATAGAAACATTATCCTAAAATGCGTATTTACAACATACCATACCAGCAAAACTTGCAAATCCTATCCTTATAAGAACAAGGATCTAATGTTCTACTGCAAGGTTGATATAGAATTAAAATGAAACTGATATGGGAACAGCGATGTGGACTACCTTTGGAATCAGCCTCTAGGCTCCATTGACTCTGGGAGAGGACTGTTTGGAATTATCTGGACGGCCTTCCTCAATCTCCATATCCTTGGCAGCTGGTGTTGAGGACAACGATGAATCACGACGTCCATTATTTTTCTGGACGCCGCCATTCTCTTCATCAGATTCATTGTCCATGAGGGGGCCACCACGAAGGAGTTCTCTGACCCGCAGATATTCATCATAGTGGGCTCGCCTGTGTAACCTGAAGCTCTTGCTGCTTTCTGAATCAAAATCTTGTAGGGTTGTGAGAGAAAAAGGGACAAATCCATCAGGGTGCTATAGTAAACCTAGTTGAAATATCAAAGATTCAAAACAAAAGCTAATCGAACAGAATAGGAATTGAACAAAACCTTCACCATCTTCATCCATTGCATCTGCCTCATCCTCGGATGATGTCCACCCAGTGCCCCGTGAAGTGTTTTTACTTGAAGATACAACATCATTCAATGCATTTCGTATAGCTTCAGCATGCATTGCATCATCAATCCCATCCTCAAAGGAGTCAAAGCTCACTGATACAGGAGAAGTTGGTCCTATTAAAATCACTGATATCAGCTTAAACTGATGGGGAAGAGCATTAAATTCAAAGCCACAAAAAAAAGTTCTCCTTTGAGATTCAATCTTCTCTTGTCTTCAAAATTAAGCGCGGAGTCGGAAAAAAACACAATTAATGAAGAAAAAATAATTAATGATTCAAAATTACCAAAAGTATGTCACAATTTCCAGTTACTGCAAAGAACCCTTTCACATAGTACCCACTGTTTGGGAATCTATCAAGAGAAGCTTTCTTTATTAGAAAAATTAAATTCAAAATAGATAACAAACAACCAATCAATGTAACAGACCAACTTTTAAGGTGACCCAAATTACGTCACCAAAACAACATTATCTATTTTTTCCAAATATCTTGTTCTCCAGTCAAGAGACACAAACACCAACTAAAGTTTAATAAAAGGTACCAATTTGAAATCCAAGGTTTATCATCACAAGATATCACATAAAAGATGTAATCACTCAATTGAATATATCAATTCAGCAATGCTTCTCCTGGATTACCCAAAAAAAGGTTAGCTTGTCAAAGAATAATAGATGAGTCAAATTTGCAGACGAAACATCAAGAGGAAGCTGATAAATAAACACAGTCAGCACACTTCTGAGTCATGCAATAAGTCCTGACTGATTAGTATAGATCCTTGACATATTTTAGACTAGAACATATTAGAGTCGGTAGCAGTTGGAGTTTTATGCTGCTTATATTAGTGTATTTGTCAAACTTTGTAAACTTTGTATTACAGAGTATCAATTAAGTATGTGGTAGTACAAATTGTGTGAGAAAATTATATATACTCTGTTTTACTTCAGTTGAGGGTGTGTGTGTGTGTGTGTGTGTGCATATGAAAGTTTTCAAAATATAATGCAGAATAAGCAAAGTGGAAGGATGAAATTTTGAATATACCATCATCTTCAATCATGTGGTGATATGGTGTCTTTGGTTCATTTATTCTCTGCCTTACTGGTTTATTTGCCTCAATTTCCCCAAGATTAGCCTCATCCCAACTTACACGAGCCCTGGCACAATACAAAACTTTTAACATAGATTCATTGGGTAAAAAAAACATAAAACATGAGAGAAACTAGATTACTAGAATAATAATCCTCTGACAAGAATCATCTGATACTAAGAAAATGACATCCCCTTCGTTGACACTATGCACATCACATCAACAGCAATCAATTGTAGACATACAGATATTAATAGAGAATTATTGCCATTAAGGACACAATTATAGAAACAAGTAAGATGTAGTTTTACACACACACACCATATGCACGTCTCAGTCTTTGCCCAGAAGAGTCCAAACAGTTAAATGTTATAGCCACTGTGATTTCATTCCTCTCGATGAAGATCACTTCACATCAATCAACACTGACAGAACAACAGACTTCAATAATCAATAATACTCGCTAACCTTTCCGTTTTCAAGTTAACACTTACTTTCTACTTCCAAACATTAAGTAACAATAACCAGTCAAATAAACTGCAATTAGAGGGTAGAAGGATTACTTCATTTTCACAGTCCAACAGTAATCCTTTTGAGAATTTGCAACTTTGTCTACTTCCCTGGAACGATGAAATAGAATTACAATTATCAAATTAAACATTGTAAGTTAAGTACAAAGGCCACAGCAATATAATGAAACCACTTGGAGATTAAAAAGAAATGCTGAATATCAAGCAGAAAACCATAACATCTGAGGATGCAATACACTACCCTAGACACATATCAGCCAAAAACCATAATGTCTGAGGATGCAATCAGATTACTGGGATCATAGATCAACTAATCTACTGTTACAAGTTTGACAAAGATAATATGGATTATACAATATTATTCAATCCAATAATCAGTAAGTTGAAGTGGATTACGCATATTCACAATCCATAATCATATGCTTTGCTAAATGAGACATCTACGAACAGAAAAATCGTAATTGAACATACGACATTGCTTTCAGTTAAACACAAAAACACCAGAAACATTATTCATTGCTTCAGACTAAGCAAAATATACATAAATATCTGATAGGAACCTTTTTAATCACCGTAAGTACAGGAAATAATTATCAATTTCAATAAGAAAAAAACCAATCGTTTTGGGATAATGATTCAAATCGTGCTGAAAAGGAAACCAATGAGAAATGCAAAAAAATGAACTCAAACCTTAGCGAAGAAATACAGATTTATTCCCAATGCTGCAACTTCCAGAATTATCCTTCGTTGTAGAGAGCATGGAGCCGGGTTTACCCGGTTCTTGGTCTAAGGTAAAACTATATATTAAATTAATAATTGGAAAATGTTTAGTGCCCTACACCAATTATTTATAAATTTGTCACTACCCATTACCTATTACCTAATGTGACAAGTTTTAATTGGTTAAAATATAAATTAAAAAAAAAAACTAATTAAAACTATATCAATGAGCGACAAGTTTGTGAATTATAAGTGGAATGGTACTAAGTATTTTTTTTATATTTTATTATGTGATTATGTCATAATAAGAGTAGGAATAGGTTGGGTCTTATAAGAGCATCCACACTAGAAGTTTTTCTTAATTTTTAGAATAGTAAAAAACTTGTGTGTTGATTTTTAATTAATATGGAGTGGGATTTTTTCATGTTTTTTTATTTTGTCTGACTACGAGGTCTCATGAGGAGGTCCTAACTGTAAGAGACACATTTAAGTTCGTACTATATTCATATTTTTTTCTCCTGCAAATGCTAAACTTTTGTGGGGTCCACTGAATTAGAGAAGAAAACAAAGCAAATGAAGAAAATTCGCGTGGCAGGGACAGCTGTTTAGCGCGTGAGGGAATCCATTTCTTCTGTTTTTTTTATGTCAATTTTTTTTCTCCTTTTCTCTCTTCCCTATTTTCTTCCATCTCTTATGTGTATCTGGAAAAAAAATTAAAATAAAAAAAAAAAAAAAAAAAAAAAAAACCAACAAAAAACTCATACTAATATGGATGCTCTAAGAGGCCTACCACCTAGTTTGAGTTTAGTGAAAAAGTATGGCATACACCTATATGTTTAAAGCTTGATGGGTAAGCATGCAAGCTTCACCTATATATATGTCGAAGCATATAACATATAGGTCTTATCATGTTATGTGTTGGTAATTACTATGTTATATGTATTCAATTTATTTACAAGTATAGAAACTGTTAACTGCATGCATAAAATGCATCAACTGCAAATACATAATCTAAAGATTATTTTTAAATAGGGTTCACAATATAAGACAAACTCTGGTCCATGATATAATTTGCCTATTGTGTACTCAAGTTTGGACAAAAAAAAAAACCAAGTTTACTTACAAATTCAAGCCTTGGGTTCTTAAAACCTGCTCGAGCATAATTTGTCAAAACTTGACCAACCCACAAACATATAGGAGAAGTAAATTGTATTAAAAACACATTGTGTGACAAATTCGACCAAGAAAGTACTGAAAAGAAGATAAAGTTGTATTTTTTTAAAACTCAAACTTTAGAGTCGCTCCTACCTTTTTGTTAAGAACACAAACTTAAGAGTCACTCCTACCCTAGATACCAGTGAAGAAGGTAAATCGCGAAATATGTTTTTAACTACAAATAAGTCCTTAAATACTTATAGAATAGTATCCACACAAAGACAAAATCCATAGCTCCTTTTATATTTGTGTCAAAACATGTAGTACGACTTCAACAAACATATGGTACCAATAGTTATGTTAATCTATGTATAACAAACTGATTATATAGGTAATTATATGTTGATCAATAATTGGGAAATCAAGATTTGAGGAGACAAAAGTAACTTCCATTATATATGCAAATGTCCATTGCAAAGATAGCATGTATGAAATATATGCTTCTTTATTTCAATACTTAGATATTCAGACAAGTTGGCTACCTAAGATGTATTCTATACTGGAATTAAAATTTCAGCAAGACAATAAACAGACAACAAAGCTGCTCTTCCCCATCCCTCCTTCAACAATCAACTGTTTTCCTCAGTGGCCACATCTACTCCTTTTTCTCAGCATCGACGACACCAGATGCATCCCCGTTTTCAGCTGGAACGCTTTCTGATTGAGCGTGTTCGGTGGGCTTAGCGCTCTCTGGTGGGCCATCCTCGGCTGGGTTAACACTGCGGTCAGTTGTTGTCTCTGAAGGTCCATCTTCGTTAGACGACGTCTCCTGCCCACCTTCTGCCACTGAACTCTTGACAGTCCCAACCTTTACATATTTGCTCATGAATTTGTATTCCCAGTCACGTAGTGCATCGAGCTCGAAAGGACCAAGGCCCGATATGTCACCGGTAAGGTCTTTTTCCTCAAAGGACATCTTAGCGAGTGCTCTACTAGCATCCTTTCCGGCAAACAATGCATAAGGTCCCCCGGGTCCATAAAACATTCTGCAAGAATGCGAAAATAAATAGATATTACAGAACACGGATTATTAAACACCAGGCATGACAGACATCACTTCCACAGCAAGATTATTAATTATTACGAAACATAAACCACACCGGAATAGAATGTTCCATTGCAAGAAACAATGAAGCCTTAGAATTTGTCTCGAGGCCAGTTAGCCAAGAGGAACAAGACTGGCATCTTTTTAGGAGACTAATTAAGCCCAATTTTAGACGAGACTATGATAAACCAGCAGCCAAAGAGTTCTTCATTGAACCACATAGTGAAAGAAGCCGCATCCATTCCATGGAATAGATGCTGAACAAACTGCAAGCCAGTAGTATATGGAAGAAACAATTATAAAGACAAGACAACAGTGAACTCGAGATAAACAAGGTTATCCATTAGTTAATGCAGCAAATAGATTTTCAACCATTATCTATACTACACAAGTATCTCTTGCCCCTATCAAAGGTTCATCAAGACAACAATTTCATACAAAAAAGCTTTTAGCTGATAGCTGTTAGCTGATTGTGTTAATTAGAGGGTATAAATAGTTGATAACATTAGCTGATTGTAGAAAAGTGTTTGGTAAATTAGCTGATAGCTGTTTGGTATAATTTCTTTTTTCAAAAAGCTAATTAAAAAAGTAGCTTTTTGGATTTTAGCCTTTTGGAGTTGCAAAAAGCTAATTAACCAAACATTTATATTGATATTTTAACTAAATCAAACAATTAATAGTGGTCAAATAGGCCAAAATTGGCCTATAGGCCAATTTTTTTACCAAACAGGGCCTTAGCCTTTCACCTTTGCATTAGACTCTTAAGAAACTTTAGCTGAAAAGTCCCAAGTAGCTCAACAAAGTTTATGCTTTTCCCAGAGAAAAATGTAATGCTAATCAGGTTATGAGTGGAAAAAGTGAGATTCTCTCTCGAAATCACCCAAAGTTAACCTAAAAGTTCCAATTTTTTCCACAAATACTCAATTTTGCAAAAATAAAAAATAAAATTGAAATTCAAACAGCAACAGCTATCAAAGACTTGTAACAAAGATAACAGAAAACCAAAATCAGAACCTAAACTATACATAAAAATATACGATTGAGGAAAAGAAAGTTGCCTGCTTTGTGAAACATCATAGATCTGACTCTTGATAGCCATGAGCAGAGGCTTCTTGGGATCAGAGCCATCGTACTGTTTCAGCTCCTCCTCGGAGATCTCGCCGAGCTGAACCGGCGGCGGCAGGGGCTCCACGTGCTCCTCCACCTCCCTGGGCCTTCCATAGTTGCCTTGGTCCGATGATCCAAACAACCCAGAAGCCACATAGTAGATTGCAAGAATCAGAGCAGAAACCGTGAAGAAAGTTGCCGGAGATAGACCCGTGTACGTTGTGATTGCGGCTTTCAGTGTCTCCCAGAGTTCTATCGCCATGGTGAGAAGAGAGATTGAAAGAGGGGAAGAAAAATCTTCGGATAGTCGATAGTATCAAAGAAGACAAAGGGTCAATGCCACGGAAAAGGCAAGATTGGGTTTCTTTAAATTAGGTGAGACTGCCCAGTGAAAGTGTGTGAATTGAATAGAAAAATCGTACGGTGTAACATTACAGCTATTTGGTGTAGTTATTTTTTATGCTTAAAATCAAAATTCTATATCACACGATACATTATAAATGTAATTTTTTTTATTAACTTTAATTATTTTATTCATATTATAATATAAATGCATCACACACCCCCCACAAATAGTATTTAGTAATTGTGGACAATTACATGGTTCAGTAAACAATATTTAGAACAGTAATTGTGAGTAGCTTTGAATGGCTAGATGAAGATCATTTGTGCACAAAGTATATTGTTATGTTTTAATATGATCATGCTATTGAAGTTGTGCTCCTTGTGATAAAAAAGGTGGTCTTAACACCGGGCATGCTCGATTTATCTCATTATGAGTTTTTGGGACAGATCGAAAAGACTCAAGATTATTCTGATAAAGTTAGATACCTTATTCTATTTTTTTTTTTAAATACATATTTAATCCTTCAATTGTTCATTGCTATTCGTTTTAGTTCTTAACTTTTTACTATTACAATATATATCTATAATTATTCAAAAAATATACAGTTTTAGCCCCTAAAAGAACAAAACTACTAAGCTCGGTTAAATTTTTACTTAGTACATGAATGTTTTAAAAACTTATACGAAATAACATTTAGTCTTTATAATTTTTTCATATGCAAAATAGAAATTTGACAACATTATTATCTAAATTTTTCCTATTTAATTTTAGTACATCGTTTATATTTTTTTTATACGAATCTGTTAAAATAATTTTTTTTTAAAAAAAAATTACAAATGATATATCAGAGTAAAGAAGAGTATAATTAAAGAAAAAATATTTAAAAGTACTAAAATATTAATGTACTAATTACTCTCACATTTTTATTTTATGTGTCTAGTTTGATTAATGAGACTTAACTGGGTTATTTTGAATTCAATTTTTCATATCATTAAATTTAGTATTAGTATATAAATTTATATATTTAGAAATTACATTAAAAGTATTATAAAATACAAAAAATTAAAAAAAAAATTATTATATAATATAAATAAAGAATAAAAAAATTGATTTGACCAATGAATAATAAACATAACAAGTATAATGAAACATGTGGATTAATATTTTAATAGGGCTTAATAATTTTATTGTTCTAAGAGTTAAAATTATAAGTTTTTAAAAGAGTTAGGTGTATATATTGCAATGATAAAAAGTTAAGGACTAAACAATTAATAATAAATAATTAAGGAACTAAAAATGCATATTTTCCAATTTCGTGATTTAAATTTTAATTAAGAAAAAAAAAAAAGTACAGCATAGAAATCTATCTCGCAGGTAGCCAAAGGTGTAAAACAAACAGTAATAACTAGAAGTCTAAAACTAAACGAAGAAATAGTAAGTAGAGTCGATTCCGATCGTTCTCAGCGGCTGAAGAAGAGTGTAAACCATGGCCGGAGGAGGAGACCACGGCGGCGACTTCCGGGAGAAGGTCTGGACCATGACCGGTGGCCCTAACTGCAGGCCCAGGTACTGGAAACGCAACACTGCCATCGCCATGGCCGGCATCGTCCTAATTTGCATTCCAATCGCCATGAAATCCGCCGAGCTCGAGGTCAGTGTCTCCAATTCTCCGTCCCCAATCCATCTGGATACGCCTAATTCGTTTAGTCTGTTTTCCATTCTGCTTATAAATTTATATTGAAGACCTAAATTTGACATGACTTGCTTTGATGCTGTTCAAGTTACGGTATTTTCTAAATTAGATCCTTTTTTCTCTATTTCTGTGCGATCATTAAACGATCTCTCTGGAAATGTATACCCTGGAATGCTGGATCAGTGGATCCGACTTTGTTGTTATCATTTATTTGTGAACTATGGATTACAATTGCACATTTGCACTATTCAAAAGTTAATATAGTTAACAATAGTGGTGTTAGGGGTTTTCTTCGCCTAACTCCACCATGACTATGAGTTTGTTCGAGCTGGAAAGTGATTCACAAGTTCATAGGTGCAATGCTAAGTGTGTATGTTTCTGGAGTCTGGGATAGTCAGGATTCAGGAAGTTGTACAATTACAATGCTGAGAGTAGAGGGGTTGAAATTGACTATTGGTGAGACTGTCATTGTGCTATAGTTGTGACCTCAATGTTCGCCAGACAGTGGTGAGAATCAGTTAGTATAAGAAAGATGCTACTCTATTTGCAATAGGATGATAAAAAAACATGTATTTGTTATGATACTTAATCATGGAGCATAGTCAAGACTCAGCTTCAGTCTTTCAGTCTGTGGCGTGCTATCTTTTTTTTTCACTTTATAGAATGTGATAAACCCATTACATTTGGGTCCTATTCTGTGAAACTGTATGAAGTCCACCTCTAATCAAATCACTAATTCTAAGTTTCTAACTACTTTGACACTGGTCTGTTGAATTGTGATGTAAACTTGGATGTTCACCAGACAGTGGTGAGAATTAGTTAGCATAAGAAAGATGCCTACTCTATTTACCCTAGGATGATAAAAAAAAACATGTATTTGTTATGATCCTTAATCATGGAGCATAGTCTAGACTCACTTCAGTCTTTCCGTCTGTGGCGTGCTATCTTTTTTTCTTTTTTTTTTTTCACTTTATAGATCATGATAAACCCATTACATTTGGGTCCCTATTCTGTGAAATTGTATGAAGTCCACCTCTAATCAAATCACTAATTCTAAGTTTCTAACTACTTTGACACTGGTCTGTTGAATTGTCATGTAAAATTCTATCCAAATATCCATGTCCAGTAGAGTGTAGACACTTTCTTCGTTCTCTCGTGGAACAGACATGGAACTTTTACAGCTCACCTTTTCTTTCATTCTGGTCATAATAAGATATACTTTGAAATGTTGAATTGGTTTATATTGATGTCCAGGTGTCCAATGTAAAGTGTTCTTAACTACTGGCTAGGAACTGAGTTTTGTTGCTTTAGCATTTGGAATTCTAATACCACCACCACATATGATCAACAAGTTATGCTTTGCTGTTAGCTGTTTCTCTTTTGTCATTTAACACCCAATGTCTCAATGGTGTTTGTTTGCTGTACTTCTCCATTCCTTCGCTTTGCTTATATTTCCCTTACTATGAAAATTTGTTTAAATGAAGATCAATTAGATTTAAGCGATGTAACCTGCTTTGAAGGTCATAGAGCTGTTATGTGCGGTATTCAATTTTGCATTGAGGAATAATGCCTTATTTTGTTTTGCAGCAAAGGCCACATAATCCAGTCAGGCCTATTCCCTCTCAGCTCTGGTGCAAGAATTTTGGGACAAAAGAATACTAATTTGTCAGAAAGATAGCCTATTGTATTTCCATTTTTTAGGTTCTGCATATCTTTGATGATTTATGCTGCATCAAGAAAACTGTGTTGGATTCAATATGCAGGCTACTAGCCTGCCTTCCTTGTACTGTGTGGAAGCTTGTAATAAAGCCAGTGTTTACAACATTTGTGATTTTATACTCTTTTTTATTTTTTATTTTTTTGAAATTTATACTCTTTTTGTTGAATCTTGAACCCACTCCACTGTTACTCTTTTTATTGAATCTTGAACCCACTCCACTGTTCCAAGCACATTGAAGAATAGAAGGGATTTTAACTGTGATTTCATCTCTAATGTTATTCTTTACAGATATATTCTCAATTTCATACTTGAGACAAAATAATCAAAATTTATACCCCCATTCATCAATTTCCCTTGTTCGGAAGTGGTCTACATTGTTAAAGGGGGAAAAAGAGAGATCACTTTTATGCTCCTCCATAGGTCTTTATCAACTCAACAGCAAGGCTTTTAGCCTGCATCAGAAATTGGAGCCTCCTCCCATTATCAGGTTCTTCAATCAGTGTTGAGCTTATTGATACAATAAAATCCTTCCAGGAATTGGCAAATTCCTTCTCTTCAATGGTCCCCAAGTCCGGGCGATCTGGTGACGGGATTCTTTCGACTGCTTCATGATCCTTGTGGTCATTTTGCATCATCTCTTTCCTACAATCTTGCAGTAACCATCTCTGCTCTCTGTTACGCACCGCTGTTTCTAATCTTCCAGCCATGAAAATGGCTCGTTGGATGCATGAAGTTGGCAGCTGGGATCAAAAGCGTAATTTGGCAGAAATAAGAACAGGTTGAATGAAAGGAATCCATGACAGTAACTAATGTCAACTGAAACGAGAATATATTACACACACAACATGTATGAACATGCAGGCATAAGGCAACAAACCTGTGCAAGCTGAGCAACCTTGAAACCGAAGCTTCTCTCTGAGATACCAGGCACGAGTTTGTAGAGGTAAGTGATGTCATCATTATTCACGCTATCCAGTTTCTCATTTGACTTCAATCCAGTATCCGAATCTCCTTGTGATGTCAAGTAAGAAACACGATATGATCCAATGCTGCCTGGAAATTCGTTCTTGATATCGAGTATCTTGGGGTAGTGGGTGACAAAGAGAACTAGGCATTTCTTACGATCTAGAAGATATTGCAATGTAGCATACGCAATTGCAACACCATCATGTGTGCTCGTGCCTCTCCCAAGCTCATCGATTATAACCAACGAGTTGGCCGTGCAATTCTTCAAAATGTGAGAAGTCTCGCTTAGCTCTTCCAAGAAAGTACTTCTTCCTTGCTGAATACTATCCGATGCGCCCATGCGAGTGTAGATGCCGTCTAACACGTGGAGTTTTGCCGACGATGCTGGTACATAGGAACCAATCTAGAAACAGTTCATAATACATCATTTAATTGCACATTTCCAGTCCAAAGGATATCAACTCCCACCCTCTCCCCTTTCAATTATTGTGCTCTGATAATCAACGAGCAAAAACTAGCAATTTTATTTTATTTTTAGTTTTCTTATAAAATCACGACTGTAATAGCTCACAAAGGAAATTTATCAAAACATTAAAAACTTATCAAAATGACCATCAAATGTTGTCTCACC